TATTATTTTTATTTTATTTTATCCTATTTACCATAACTATTGGACCCGATAGTCATTTATAAAATAAGAATTATTACGTTTCGAACGGTAACATACAAGTTTTTGTTGATCAGATATCATAAGTTCGTCATAGCTCAATTAGCAATGGGCACAGATAATTAATATGGATTATATCTTAATACATTTTCTTACATATTCATTGTATATTTTACATAATATACACTTTTTGTGGTGTCTAGGAATATATTTTAAGTTAGTGTCCGTCCGAGATGATTGTACGTAATTGTTGACCTTTGAATTTATTTCTAAATTAAGATAATGAGCGATAAAGATGGCAATAATTGTATAATAATAAACCATAATATAAAAATATTTCGGTACAAATACGACTTCAAGAGAGCCATTACCATAAAGGCCAGTAACACACCCGTGAGTTTCTTTGTTTCAGTCACCCACCAATTTCGCCGTCCTATCCAAAAAAAATACGTTTACCTAAAAACATTCTTCTTGGTATGTTCTTTTTTGAAGAACCCGAAGTGGTGGTAGAGTCTTTGGATACTACTATGGCCACATACTGGTAGTAGAAAATCGAGATGATACGATAAAGATGATTAAAAACAGAAATTCAAGACAATACGAAATTTAATTTAATAAGGGTAATTAAAATGATATCAGAACCATCCTTTGACATGAGTTCCGACGTGAAATTATGTCTCACTATCAAGGGCGTTTTCCCACTTAACATTTAATAACATACATTAATATTTTATATTGACGCATCCGTCAATACGAGATCACGGTCATGTCGGAAGTGCAAAGACTGGTTATTCAACAGATCACGAGGTAGAGAGTTCAACACCCGGGACTGTAAAATATAAAAAATATAGGTATTATACGATAGCGTAATTTATATGCGAAAAAATCTACATAATTATTACTATATATATATATATCTCTCTCTCTCTTTAATCATTCTCATGTCTGAGCGTGCTGGTCAGCAACGAAGTACCTGGAACGGACTATCAGTTTCCAACGGTTTCTCTCCAGCTCTTATTGCAGTCTACAGTTTTGAGAACGATGAGTCTTTCACTTGATCCATAGTTGAACGGCCACGTGATCTTTTGCCTTCTGTGTTACTAACCACGAACACTTTCAACAAGTTCTCATCACCTGTGCGCATCATATGGCAGAAATAAGATACGATTAGTATATAGACATATAGCCCCAGAAAGGCGTGGATATCTTAAAAACTACTTCACCCATTTCGTTGAAAATTAGTCTGTTCTCAACCTGACATATCAAAAAGGAACATATTAGTTTCCCAGTAATGGATAGACAGTGGCATAACAATAGGGTGGCAGGGCTGTTCTATGGATGAATGTGAACTGTGAAGTCTCCACTAGGCATTGGGCTAGCGTAGGGACTACAGACCATGCCCTCTCGCCTAAGAGAGGAAGCCTATGGCCATTAGTGGGACATATACAACTTGTAATTGAGTACGCTGAAAATCGCGATGTTTATGAAAATTAAAGTGAGTATAACGTGACGACTTTCACTGCTAGGGCCCCATCAAAAGAATTTGCCACGGGCCCCAGGTGGTAGGTATAGTTACGCCACTGTGGATAGACAAGCATAAACGGAATTATCACATAGTCTAAATCAGATAATTATACTCAAATAGTATCAAATAGCACACACAAAACGCCGGCAACGCACTTTCGAGACTTCTCGCAAAGTGTCCATGGACTGCGGTATCACTTAACATCAGCCTCCGGCCGTTTGCTTCCCGTTCTATAAAACCAAAGAAAAACGTGTATGTACTTATGTACACGCGTTAGAAGTTATACTTCTTTGGCGTAACAAGATAAAAATCTTTTCAAAAATTTTATTCTACGTTTGTAGAAAAAACGACACTGACAATAGAAAAAACTAAAAATGTTGACTATAACTAACGGGGTGTCGGTTTTGAGTGACAGGGTGCGCGCACGTCGTAAAAATTTACTCTCATCATTACTCCTAACGCGCCAAAAGAAGTATAACATCATGTATCAAAAAAAACACATTAATACAGGTTTAAAAGGGAGTTTAAAATGTTGCCACTGCGCAAAACCATTTACGCAGTTTATACAACGGACGACCTTATTGATAAATAACCTTTTTTTCTTTAGCGATGGTTATATTTTAAAAAGCTGATTCTATATTACAAAGAGAATTGACAAAAAATAACAAGAAGTAGATGTTTATGTCGGAAACATAACTTTCGCGCTAAAGCCTCCTAGATTTTTTGTTAGTTTCAATTGCCATATTTTTTGTCTACGTGGATATTTGTTGTTCATAATAAAAATTATGATAATGGCGGAATAAACGAGGAATCAAGGCAGACACGAAGGCGGTGTGAATATATAAAGGCTTTGACAACTACTGAAGTAGTTTGTAGGAAAATATTTCGATATCCAAATAAATTTTTAAAAGGAAAACCGGAGGAAGACGTTCGACCTTTTTTTTTAATAAATGAGACCTACCATAACTTTGGCATCTGAAAAACATTGTACTTACCATAAATAAAAATGACAGTGTTCATTTCAGTTCAGTTTAATTAATTGGAAAACAGAATATAGCAAACAAACGGTTATCTACAGTAATATTTTTAGGAGTAATAATAGAGTAATAGTAGTAATATCTGCTTCTACTGAACTGATATTGAAATTATTTACCAATACATAGACACTTTGTTTATGAGTGCAAGAGATAGCGCTTTATTTTAACCCAAAAACCTATAACACTTTTTCGTGACAGTCGAATTTACAAAGTAAATGGTTACCCAGAGACGAGATATAAGCCAATTCAGTTTATGGTTCCATAATAACACCATATCAGCAAGAAACCCGATGTCCTGTCATGAATTTTATTCGATAAATAATAAATTTTACTTATGAACTTTAAACGGGAAATTAAGATATTTATTAATTACGTGAAAAACGTTATCATTATCAAGTGTATCCGAAACTTTAACAATGGTATGTGTTGGGATGATAAAAGAGAGGGCGTGAACCAGAAACTTAGGAAGATGGAATAAAAGGGATAGCGGGGCAGAATTGGTAAATTGACGCGAGGAATAGAGACAAGCGGAGGGAATTGGAGGAGGCCTACACTCCATCGGAGATCGAGTAGTTCCCGAACCCAATAACCTATCTCAATCCATAATCCACCTTCTGAGATTGTAATCTTATTCCAAATGTTGTAAAAAGTGTGCCAATAACCAATCGACGGATTGTAATAGCCATCTGTCGATACAAGCTATCCATGAGAGGTCGTATCGGTGTCTGTGGATAGACCTTTGTATGAAAATGACAGTTGACCAAAGCTCGATTTCAACAGTTAATTATTTTAACTTACACCAGTTTTTTAAATAATTAACAAGTTGGTTAACATTGATTATCAAATATGAGTGAAAACTCGGTAAAAAAATGGATTGTCTTCTTAGGGTTTGGTTAGTGGGATGCAGATTGGTGATCGATCGACTGTCACGGTCTGATCTCATTGTTCTGTTCATTTTTTCAATCTGAGATTGTGGATTAATTATAGGGTTCGTGCGTTAATGACATGGACTTAGTGTAGTGTAGTACTCGAATAAAGCCTATTTTTATTCTTTTACTAGCTGTTAAAAGAAAATCCGTACAAAGCCGTGAACCAAAAACTTATTTAAGGCGTGATGAACTCGTGTACTTCGTATCACCTACATATATTTATGGCAAAACGTAATACAACATTTTTAACACAGACCAAAGATAACCTCAAATGCCATGAAACACACATTTCTGAAGGCACCTATAAATGACAACCAAGTGACACTTCTTTATTTCTAAAATGACATAGGAACACACAATAGGATTTTATTGGTATTGTTGGTATTTTTCTTTACTTATTAATTATGTTTCCCACTGTTTCAACCTTCTCTGGACTTCCACAAATAATTCAAGACCAAAATTAGCTTTCTTTCTTATTAATTAGTTTTCGAGTTTTAGCGAGACTGACGAACAGCAATTCATTTTTATATTATATGCCTGAAAAAGTTAGTCTAAAAGCGATAGTTAGCTAAATAGGCGAGACCCTTAATACTTAAAGTGTGTAAATAATTCAAAGCTATAAAGCTTTAAATATAGTCAAAATATTATATTTTTATACTAAAGTTACTGACTGAAACAAACTTTTAAAATCAGTAATTGCATAAAATTATCGTTTTAAAAATGGTCAAAATATTATAACTTAGCTGGGTTTGTTTTAGGCAAGTTCTTGAGTTTCTAAAAAAATTAAAACTTACTTAAAGTAGTTAATTTCACTGCTTTCCACGTTTGCTTTAAATTAAATGAGACGTGTTTCTATACGTTATTTTAATTTGTTCAAAATACAACTTCAAACTAATGCGTAATTTATTACGAGCAAAATTATAAATTACAATTATTACGAGTTTAAAAACGTTTCTTGTTTTATAGCAAGTAACAAAAAATTAAAATATTTACGCAAATTGTACAAATTCATTTCGTAAAGGATATTTTCTTGTATATGTGTAATATTATATCGTACAAGGTATACAATAACATTTAGGTCACAGACCAAATATATAATATTAATCTAAAATAAAATGCGTCAAAATTGTTCCGACTTTCCCATTGAGTTCAAGAGCTGAAGTCACACTAGCACCTGTGACTTCAGCTCTTCCTTGGTAGATGGTACACATTTGGACCATAGGGTCAATAACAATTTTGTTATAACGATGTTAGCAATTGCTGAGAAACCTGACTAAGCTAAAAGTCAAAAACACAAAGTTTTCGATGAATTTTAACCAAGTATGTGTCCTCTGATTTTAAAACAGCCATTTCCTTTAGAAAAAATGATAAACTAAAACAGAACAGGCTCGAAAACTGAACGCCAGAGTATAAATAGAGTCGCGATGTTGTTGAAGGCATCAGTCTCATTCGAAAGTTGAGAGGATATACAACATGTACGCTAAACTGGTGAGTCCATTTTCATATTACGGATTAACTGCTTAACCAATTTCAATGAATTTCGTATATTAACTTCTATTCAAGTTGTGTTAGACTTCTTTCATTTACGAATGAAAGGTACTCAACAGATACTAAATTCTTCGTTAAAATTAAATTAATTACTACGATGTTTTGAAGTATAAAATAAATATTCAGCTTCATACATTATCATTACAATTGGCGCCATATAAAAAACATATCTTTGTCATCATATATTTCTAATATAGCGTTTAAATATTATGTACAATACTCATACAAAATATTAACAAATGTTGCATTATTATTTTAAATCCATTTCAGGAATACAGTAAAAGTGCAGTAAAATTATGAAAATAATTCGAACATAATAATTGAATATTTAATAATAAATGGAAATCACCCACTCAAAATTGCTTTGAGATCGTTCCTCATACCATCAAAAGTAGCTAATTGTAGGCGCAAGGTGACAGCAGGTGTGATACGAATAATTAATTAAAAATTACTGTCAAGACAATTACGCAAATTGTTGTTGAGTTAATAACGGAACAGTAAATGAAAATTGGTTATTGCTAGACCCGATTGAATATGTATACTTTTAGCAATAGATTCGGTAAACATAAGTTTTGGTAAACCGTGGTGATGGAGGGTTTAAATCTAAAAACTTATATGAAATAACAACTTTATATTTTAAAATTGTCTAATATCGTCTAGTAAATTCCTGAAAATGCAATGAAAAATCAATATTCTTGAAATATTTTTTTTTATGGCCTGGTAACGAATATTAATAAACATTGAGAACCAAAAAAGTACATTTTTTAATAAATGTCAAATGCTTAAATTCTTATATAAAAAAGTAACATTGTTCATCATAATTTAAAAAAAAACATTGAAAAGAATGGATTTTAGTACATAATAGTAATAATTTTCTACTTTGACAATTGACACTAAAAATGCGAACAAAATTTAATAAGTCAATGTCTCTGGTTTGTGGTACATATTTGATGTGGTTGAAAACTAGACGCAATTTAATACAGCTATCCGATTTCTGATTCGCAACTCTATGCGCATAATTAGCAAATAATGTCAAATTGCTGACATTGTTATGAGCGAAGTAAATCAAAACGTGGGCGTGGAATTTAACTCAAATTATTCAAGAATCAATTGTCGCGTATTAATAAGTTGATTTATCCGTGTATTTATAACGTCTGGCTGATATTCAGTACGGTAGATTCGTAATAAATGGATCGTAACATAAACGTTAATACTATTTTGCCAATTTATTTTGATTGATACATTAAGGAGTCTGTGCGGCAAGATCTGGACTTTGTACCATGTTCTTTGTGCTTCTGCCTAGGTACATATACTTTGTAAACGTACGAAAAGCCTTACCAAAGTAAAACCTCAAAAACATCCTGTTTTGTAGTTCATCGTTTGCGCTTTGGCCGTGGTAGCGCTGGCCCGCGAGTACCCAGCTGGAGTCCACCCCGCCATCTGCCCCAACTACCCCTACTGCGATGTCACGACCTTGGCTCGCTTCACACCCGACGGTCAACCCATCCCTGAGTGGGTCTACAACCCATCCATTTTGCCTGTAGCACCCGCTGAGTAAGTGTATCACACATCGCTACATAGTACTTTTACAAGGCCGTGATATTAAAATTGAGATATTCGTTGATTTTTAGAACTTTCGCTATCGAATCAAAAATAAATTCATTACAACCATTTAGTAGACATAAGTTTGTCTATGTTTAAGAGATACCTCTAGTATCTAATAATGAAATATAACTTTACAGCCCCAACGCCGCCGCTGCTCGTGAGTATCCTGCTGGTGTGAACCCTGCGTCCTGCCCCAATTACCCATACTGTTGGTGAATAGTTGACCATTGGCACTCCAAATAAACCAGACCGTTTACTTGACAATACCCGATTTTTTACGAAAATATCACCAAACTTTTGAAATGACATGCCAAATTTCATCTTGGCTTTATAAAATTACTGATAGTTTCGTATACAATCAGCGTAATTGCAAATTCACTGCCATACCTCTAAAATGTAAATAATTCGTGTGTTCAAAATAAGTTTTATATGCTGAGCATTTGGTTTTGTAAAAAAAAACTGTAAAAATGTAAATAAACACGTTATTCAAAATATCCCTTTTATTTAACCCATATATATATATCTGTATTTTTTTTGTTTTTTTGTCATATTAATAGTTAATACCAGATAAAGTAATATCATACAAATTTTTAAAAAACAAGAATTATGTTTAAGCCAAAATAATAAAAAAGGACGGCCAAGATATAATTTATCAAGTATAAACAATAAAAGATCATAGCATTTTCAACATCAAGGTGTTTTATTCATTCATCACAACTTTAAATGGGCAGTGTACGTGATAGTAATTACCGGCGCATCCATCATTTCCAAATTATTGCCATCGTATTTGGTATTGCAAGGGCGAGTATCCGATCGCCGTGTTACCGCGCGAAATGACAATTGCTTAATTAAGGCAGGAAAGGAAAAATGGTCGACCTGTTTTTATGTATAGTTATTGTTATATAGTAAGAAACATTTATATCAATAATATTTTATCAAAAACCAATTAAAACTTGTTTAGAAATTCCATTCACGCAAGTGAGTTAGGCAAAATTACGCCCAAATCGATTTTGACCTGAATTTCATTGAAATTTGTCGTATTTGTAAACAATATTGCATTAATCGATGCACGCGATCTATCGCGACGCGTTACATGCAATTTTTAATGCAACTCAAGCGGAATCATTTAATTTTGACATTTGCTTGAAATAATTAAATTTATTATATATTTATAATTAAACTGGCATGCCACACCTGGCACTTATTCTTTTTTGCAAGGCAAATTTGACTTACCTACTTAGCGCTAATTCGCAAAAATAAATATTGGTACAACACAACAAATCTTGGTATAATATTATATTATATTATTAAGTTATTCGCAAAATAAGACAGATAAAAGCGGGGTTATTAAAATAACCTTTATTTTTAAGACCGAAATTAAGTTACAAGTCAATAATGATATTAAGTCATTAATTAGGATACTTGGAGTGAAGAAGAGTCTTAAATTTAGTCAGATAAAATCTTATCTCACCCCCCTCAGACAAGCAGGCAGAGCAGGCTCATAATAATGAACTGCTCAAATAAAAGAGTCCTCCAACTTAGATTTAGTTCCCTTTGGAGTAGAGACTCTGGGGAAGTGGGTTCAAGTGCACAGGCGTTAAAGATTTAAGTTGGCGCCTGGTAGATAGTACCGGTGACCCCAGAGCTGGTGCTTTCCTGGCTCAACGAATAAATATCGCAATACAGCGAGGAAATGCTGCCAGCGTAAAAGGTACACTGCCACAGGGACCAAATTTTAAATATTTTTTATTTTTTTTACTAATTAGGTTGTATGGAGGAATTATGATACCAAAATTAAACGCTCGGAAAGTAATTGCTATTATAATTCAACACCAATATCACGAAATACCGTTAGTAAGAAATAAAGGCAATCGTAGCTCGTCTTTTGCCAAGCCGTGCCGGTATCTTCTTTTCACCTTTATCCACGAGCTGTAGCAGTTGTATACTCTCTTGTTCTTCTAGCAGCTTCTCGAACATCTTGATAACATCATCGGATGACATTTGCGTGCCTTCTGTCAATGTGTCAACTTTGACAGCGATGGCTGTGCAGCTTTCTGGTGACAACTGAAATTTAAACTGCATTCATGAAATCGTTTTATTCCGTAACCTGTTTTAGATGTTCAGGGTTTTATTTATTAAGGAAAAAAAATTCAAGAAGTTAACGGAATCTCGTCTCCAAAACACTTTAAGCTAAAATAAATAACCCGTCGAGTTCAGCAGTCTTCCTGTTGGCTGCCGTCCGTGGCATCAGTATTAATAGCGTTAGCTATGCTGATGACAAGGTACTGCTGGCACGCGTCGGGAGCCGTCAATAGGATGCTGATGGTTTGCGCAGCATATGCAGCGAGGCATGGCCTTGTGTATACTGTACATAAATTTAAGGTCATGGTCTTTGAGACTGGCAGCTCATACACGGAGTGCTAACCTAGTATTCAAATTAATGAATAGCATATTGGCAGGGTTTGAACATTTAAATACCTGGGGCATATGCTACCTGCTGAGAAGGAACTGCTGTCACAGACAATCATGATTTTGAACGGGAGCATCGGGCGTTGGTGGCAAGGAGTTGTTCCTTGTAGTATTCCAGTAAAGTTCACCGTTTACTCACAAAATTTCTACACAAGCGCACTATGGGTTATCTGTCCTGTATTATCTTAAATACTTACTTTCTTTACCATACTTTCGTATTTGTCCAATGCGTTGTCTTCGGCAACACTTAAATGTCTTGAACGCAACCAGGCGTAGTTGGAACGGGAGTCTCTATTATCTCTAGTTGACACTCTTACTACGGATTTTACCTAGAATTTGTTTACGCAAATTAAATACTTTACACGTTAGATTCGCGCGTAAACTAAGTTACTTCAAATATGGAAATTACTTCCTATTATTATTACTATTAAATATAGTTTGACTTTGAACCTATTGTGTACCTACAAAGTAATTTTAAACAGTTTGACAATAAACGTTTTTCGTATAATCAAATAGAATATTGTAATAGACCCGCTAAGTCGCCAAGAATTTTCATGATTTGTAAAAATATAGTTGAATAGAAAGAATTAAATTTTCGATTCTGTTTTAAATCAATTCAAATTCCCAGCGATTTGTTTCTGTTCGCACAGAAGACATTATTCAAAGGCTTGAGTAGTGTTGGCTTTGTGGCTTCAGCGTATGACTCTCACCCCTGAGGTCGTAGGTTCGATACCGGGCTGTGCGCCTATGGACTTTATGCCCTCATTTAACATTCGCTCCAACGGTGAAGGAAAACATTGTGAGAAAACCGGCTTGTTTTAGACCAAAAAAAGTCGACGGTATGTCTCTACAGGAGATATAACCTACTTGTATGAGATTAACAAATGATCATGAAACAGGTACAGAAATATGAAGCCTAGACCTAAAAAGGTTGTAGCGCCACTGAATTATTTTTATTTATATGTCTCAATTATTAAATGATCAGTAAAGCAGAGACAAAAATCAAGGATGTAAAAAAAATGTTTTCTGATAAACCACTATTTAAACTCTAGTACAACTTTCGCATATATAAATAAATTACACAGACTATATTAAGTGAAATAGATCAACGAGAAAGAAGGTTATATCCTATTTAAGAGAATCTGCATAAAGATATCCCTTAACTGACAATGCTAATTGATTTGTATATACATAAACATGAAAGAAATATTTATTACTTCGCAAATCGGGAATGAATTAATTTGTTCTACATAAATTAAAGTTTTAAATGTGTAAACGACGGCGCTATATTTATTTAATTAAACACTTCACTTCTGAAGATAACATGAGGAAACTGTCAGGTCTTGGACCCATATCGATGTAGACACAAATTGATTGATGTACTACATAAAGAGAATTCATGAGGATTTTCAGTTCATATTGTGACAATTCCCCGGGTTTTTAAAACTGTTTCATTTTATGTTTTCTGTATCTGTTGTGAGTTTCTTCTAGTTACGTCAACATAGAAATACCTACCATTAGTCCACCGCCGTGGTCTAAATTTAGGTTGTGAGTCACACGATCATCCAATTAGGCCTTCGCCCTTCACACAAGTATTTTTATGAATAAATAGTAAATTAAAATAAAATAAAATATGTTTATTATGGAACATAAGATACATGTATCACTTATTCCACGTCATTAAATTTGAATTTGTAGGCATCCCTACTCATCGGCAAAGAAGACAGAGGGTGTAGGCCGAGAGAAAAAGCCTGCGTAAAAAACTCTCGGAAGCTAAGCAGGGTGAAGGATGGTTTCGTTAGGGATGCCGGGGGAACGGGGACCCGAATACGGTATGACACGTATCTGCTTTTCGACTTGCGGCGACAGACAAGTCTCCAGACACTAGACATAGGTTGATCGCTATGTGGGGGGCGAAACGGCCTCTGTCGCACCTCACATGGCGATTCTGACTGGCCACGGGGATTTTGGACACTATTTACTCCGATTCAAACTGAAGACAAGCCCCGCGAATGTGAAGAGAGAACCGACCAAACGGTGGTATAGGAGCGCATGGGGCGAGCATTATATATAATAAAAGTTTCTCGGCTAGGAATATAAAAGAAACTTCTTCGGGTCGTATATGTATATTGAAGTTAACACAGAAGAAACAAAGTTATAAACAAAGAGAGTCGAAAACAAAACAAGAAAAGAGAAAGCGTAAAATCGGTAATTATAAAATCCAAAGTGGAAATTCGTATTACGCGGTAAAATAAAAAATAAAACCGACGCGGTGGAAAAGAGGAGTGGTATTAATTGTTCGCCTCGGTCACAAAAATGTTTTTCAAACATGCAAACACAGCATACCAACAAGTCAAGACAAGGCGCTTTGCACCTCACATGGCGTAGGTCCTGACTGGCCACGGGGCTTTTGGACATTATTTGTATTTACTTGTTGACTGTCCGAGTTTTGAAAGAGCCAGGTGCGATCTGGAGCTCATGACTGCCATGAGGGTATTCCGGGATGGGCTATCCGACATGTTGCTTGAGCACAGATCGCAGCTGGAAAACTTCTGCTATAGAATTGTCAATATCAGGAAGGTAGCACAAAAGATGACGCGGGTTCCGCCGGCCAGCAGTTTTCGACTGCCTCAGAAATGAGAAATCTCATGAGGATATTTCCGCCAAGCCCACCTAGTCCTAGCTTTAGCAAATAAAGTCTCTTTTTAGGAAAGGTGAGATTTGACACTCTACTAGCTACGTGGCCACAGTCAGCCTGATCGCGTGCCTGACGGGCTATTACGTTTATTTATAAAAAAAATTGAAGCTAATAAATTTAACTGCATTAAAAACATCGGTCCTCAGAAAAAGGAGTAAACAAAAACTTAGTTATATTTTTTTTTATTTACTTACATAATCAAGTAGATCTTTTGGGGTAAATGTATCAGGTTTATTCATTTTCGTTTAGTCGTTACGAGAGTTTAATTCAATATAACCTTTTGTTTAATAAATTATTGCTTATCTTCGGTATTCTGTGGCCCAGGAATTTAAACACTAGTAGTATACTACAGATTCTAAAAGCGAAAATGTAGGTTTGAATTCCTCTGTAGTAATCTCTGGAAGTACTGATTTTGAATGGTCTACATAAATACTGAGCATGGCCTAGTAAAATTTAAGTGTTAACAAGTATGAAATTACAGGCTAACAAACATTTACTATTTTTGATGACTATTTTTAGTAAGTACCTCCCATGGGAGTTTCCATTTCAAGGTGAGTCCAAAAAGATAATCTTAAACAATGTCAGATGCATCTTTTTTTTATAATCGCAGCAGACAAACATACATTTTATTGTTATAATAATCATATTTCACTTATGAGTACTTCATTGCGCTTATTAAACTTTTATCATACAATGCGTTATCGCAATCTGTATTAATAAATATTAATTACATAGCGGCGCTTTAGTTGATCATAATCCTAAAATCTAAAATTTTGTAAGATTATATCGATGAATAAGAAATATATATGTTCGAGCCAAGGCTGTACATTTTGCTCACTCAGGCTTTCTTAGTTTTATAAGTGTGGCAATTTCCTAAATCGTCGGCATTACGCCGAGAGTATAGCCAGATGTAGGCACTCTCTTCAACTGTTACATTGCATTCATTCGTTACATAGCAATTAACAATTCATTATTTCGTTTAGGTACATTCTATTGTTGTACGCGAGTGATTAATATAGGTAAAAATAAAATCTTCTATTATTTAAAGCACCCTGATAACCCAATATTTGTCGGAGAAATATCGTCATTGACTTTACTGACAACCAAATTTTATTTTTGAGACTAATTGGTTTGTTGTTTTTTCCCCCGCCTGCGAAAAAATGGGCCCCGGGGTTTGCCCCCGGGGGGGGGGAAAATGGGGGGGGGAGAATTTGTGGGTGGGTTTGGGGTTTGGGGGGTTTTTATTTTTTTTTTTTTTTTTCTCCATCGATATATTTGACATCGTCGTTGGCGTTCACGCTTAGCAGGGACAAAATAACCAAATTTTATTATTAATAACATTAGGAAAATGTGAAAACTAAAGAGTATAGTTTTAATAATGTAATAAAAATAAAACAAATCACAGTTGAATATACTTTATTAAAACAACATTCATTTGATGAACAAAAATAGATCACAGAATTATAATAATCTACTACAATAAGTCTACACAATTATCTACGACATTGAGATTCATTAAAATTGTGAAGAATTAAATCAAACATACATAGTAAGTCTGATATACTCTTACTTCATTATTTATAAAAACTAAATCACATATTGCTTTAACAAATGCCGTTCTTCGGCTGTCATAGTGTTTTACACACCCTTTACCAATAAACACTGTCAATATCCAACAGTATTTAATTTTATTGCCGATAAAAAGTGAGATTGAGAGGGGAAGGGGGCGTTCAGGTATTACGTAACAAATTTTGGGTCACGAAACACGTTACGAAGCGTTACAGGGGCGCGGAAGGTGGGGGGGGGGGGGAGGTTGTAACTACGCGTAATGTAATTTTAATATTATGACGTCATATTATTCTAACTTAGGTAAAATGGTGACTTCGTCTCGTAAAGTTTTAATAGAGTTTTAAAGAAACTGTTACAGCGCGTTACATGGCCCTCCCAAGCTTTAACATCTCCAAAAATAAAGTTACTTAATACTTTACCGCTGATTAAGCTACTGACACAGGATTGCGTCATAAATTTGTATTAATTATATATGTATAATTCTACTGTACGTCTGATGTCACTGAACTCCTCTTAAACGGCTGGACCGATTTGAATGAATTTTTTGTATACGTTTGGGTGGCGCTCTGGTTGGTTAGATTCACAAATGAGCCCGGCAGATGTCGCTGCAGTCAGTACTTTCATTTTTTTTTTAATATCCTAATCGCTTGAAATATCATGCAGGACAACATCTGTCGGGTCCGCTAGTTTACTATAACTTTACTTAAAATGGTTATCATTTAAAATGAATGATCTAAATTTTAACAAATTACGAACCTTTTATCGGTAAAGGGATGTTTTTGTTAGTTAGTTTCTATGAATAATTAAGTCAACACAAAGATTATTATTGTCGGATATTAATTTGTCATAAGTTCAAAATTATGATAACTAATATTAGCTATTTAAACTTTGTCATAAAAACAATATAACATTTAAAAAACACTTAAATTAAAACAAAGTGGTTTTAACAAAACAATTTTAAATTAATAACACTGTAAATTTAACTAAAATAGGATAGCTTAACCGACTTTAAAAACCTTAGAATTATGTCTTAAATATCACACTTATTGATTTACCGCCTTATTTATAGCCCAATTGCCCCTTTTTAAAAAAGTACTCAACTGTTTCGTTTCATAACAATTCGAGAGAAAGAGACGAAAAGTACTTTATTTAAAAGTGCTATTTTAATTAAAGTACAATTAAGGTAATCTTTATTTCAATACAGACACAACTACTGGTTAAATCAGCATCTTTGTGCTTAGACAAATACACACAGTTAAATGCAGTACCACAACACCGATTTTTTTTGTTGCCAGTGATAATTTTTCCACATCAACTTATTCTATTTTTTTTTATACTAGACATTAGAAATGAGCCATAAATTCAAGATATTTTTGGTATAAATTTGATGTTAAACACCGCGCAAATACCTCGACATTTTTAATTAATAAAATTTTGAGGTTTGTCCTTGAACGGCAACATCGACAACTCTGGCAACACTCTCAGATAGAGAAGAGGTTTTATGATGTTTATAATGAAATTCAGTGAATAGAATGTCGTAATGTTGTCATCGGGTATAGCGGCCTCTGCGCAGTGCAATCCGTATGTTATAAGGATAGTGGAAACAGCTGAAACTATGAAAGATCTCTTGTATGTATCGTGGCGGAATCTGGAAAAAAAAATTAAAAACTAAAATAAATTAGTGGCGCCACAAACTTTTTAGGTCTGGGCCTCAGATTTCTACATTTGTTTCATGATTTGTCAATCTAATAGGCAAGAAGGTGATCAGCCTCCTGTGCCAAGTCAAGTCAGTTTCCTTACGATGTTTACCTTCGGATATAAGTCACATGCTGAAGCCACTAGGCCAACACTGCTCAATTCAGATTAATCGAAATTTGAATAAAAAATCTTGAAGCCATCGTAAATTAGGAAAATAATTCCCTTGTATATGTTAACGTAAAATTGTAAACACCTTTAGATTGCAATCTATCTCGCGAGATTATAAACTGTCGAAAGATTGTGAACCTCAGCGTACTGCTTACAATTTAACGTATTATTATTCGGTAGATTGTAATCTATCGAAGTGAAACCGTCAAATTGTGAAACGGATCGCACCTCGCGCGCTTTTTCATTATTTATCGTCACATTTTGTAAGCTAATGCAATTCTTGGCAAACACTTGGCGTCAAAAAAATCGCACCTTTACTAAAATTCGTGTCAAGCGATTATAACTCCGAAGATCCTTCCTGTAACCTATCATTATTAGTATCATTTGAAAGCTAATGAAATCCCTTATTTGAAAACGGTAGGAAATTGGCTGCCACCCCCATAAAAAAAGAAAATTCTGGGAAAATGTGAAACAATGTGTATTCTGATCAAAATTACAAAGAAAAGGAACAATACAAAAATTAAAAATAAACAATGACAATCCTTAAAAATTAGTCTTAAAACCTAGTGTTGCCTCCTCTAGCCCTCCGACCAGCTTCCAAGCGGTCAGTCATGGACCTGATGAGCGTCACGACGTGTTCCTGGGGAATGTTGTCCCACTCCTCGATGACGGCATCTCGAAGCTCATCGAGAGTGGCAGGAGCTGGATTACCGGCCCTAACTCGCCGTTTCAGCTCGTCCTAGAGGTGCTCGATAGGATTGAGGTCGGGGCTTCTTGCTGGCCAGTCCATAACCTTGATGCCAACTCGACGTAGGTAGTCTTTGACAATCAAGGCTGTGTGGCACCGGGCGTAGTCGTGCATGAACTCGAAGTTGGCGCCGACAAAACCTGCACATGGGACCACATGCTCCTCCAAAATCTCGATGATATACCGGTGGGCAGTCAGAGACCCCTGGCCGCGACCACCTCCACCCCTGGGGGGGCCCCCGGGGGCTTTTTTTCCCCCCGGGGGAAAACCCCCCCCC